AAAATGTCCTATAAGAAAATTAGCTCAGGTTATTGGTAAGATGGTAGCTGCAGAGCCAGCTGTGACACATGCTCCCTTATTTTATAAGCCACTTGAAAAACTTAAAGAAGCACAATTAAATAAAGCAAAAGGAAATTTTGACCACTATATGTTTATTCCTCATTCAGTAGTAGATAATTTAAATTGGTGGCTCCAGACTATACCATCAAGCTGTAAATCTGTATTAAGGGACAAGCCTCATATCATCCTATACACTGATGCTTCGTCCCAGGGGTGTGGAGCTTTTAATAAAACTGAGGGTACTAAAACAGGGGGGAATTCGTCAACTGGTGACCAAACATCTCACATCAATATACTTGAACTCAAGGCTTGTCAACTAGCATTGCATTCTTTGTGCAAAGAGAACAAACGTGTTCATATTCAAATCTTTATGGATAACACAACAAGTGTATCTTATATTAATAAATATGGTGGGAAGACCCAAATACTAGATGAGCTAGCAAGGGAAATCTGGCTTTGGTGTTTGGAGAGAAAAATTACCATAAGTGCTGTCCATCTACCAGGGACAACAAACCAAGAGGCTGATACCCTCTCAAGATCATTTAATGATGACCTAGAATGGTCTCTCTGTAACAAAGTTTTTTCCAAGATACAAAAAGCTTTTCTGGGAATATCAATAGATCTATTTGCCTCTAGGTTAAACAAAAAACTGGAAAATTATGCTTCCCTCCGGCCTAAGCCAACAGCAATAGCTGTTGACGCGTTTACATTATGCTGGTCTGATGCCTTACATTATATTTTTCCACCTTTCAGTCTGATAGGGAGAACACTTCAAAAGATAGAGCAAGACTCTGCAGAGGCAGTAGTAATAGCTCTGATTTGGCCTACACAGACATGGTGGGCTCTCTTGATACACATGATAACAGGCCCATGCTTCCTCCTGCCACAGCCGAAGGAGATACTTCGTCTTCCTCACAAGCCAGACCAGAGGCATCCTCTCAAGAAAATGAGACTAGGTGTTTTTCGCTTATCCGGGAAGCACTCAGACGTAACAAAGTTCCATATGAGGCAAGTGAGATCATCATACAATCATGGAGACAGTCTACTAGGAAACAATATGACTGCTATATTAAGAAATGGTTATATTTCTGTGGACACAATAAAGATCCATTTCACCCTTCTATAAATGACAAACTCTAATTTACTTCCATTGCACTATCAGAATTTTCAGCGCAAAAAGGTTGTAACTTGAGATACAACCCTTTTGCGCTGAAAATTAAGAGCAATTTGAGATACAACCTTTTGACAAATATTGATTTAACTTGTTAATTTTCAGAATCCATTTAAAATATTTACTGAGGATATGCATAACCACAAAACACATTGAAAATGTTAAAAATGTTATTTTGTGGAAAAAAGTGAGTTACAACCGTTTTGCGCTAAGCCCACGACTTGATGTGTGTGTGAGCTAGCTGCAGTGTTCCATGGTCTACCTCATAGAACATGCCTTAACTCATAATTATATGCATCTGAATTTTTTGGTATTATCTAGTATTAACTATTGGTATTATCTAGTATTTCAAAAACTGAAAACTCAAATTTTCATAGTTAAGGCATGTGTGGTTGTGCCCGGAAACATTCTAAAATATACTCACTGACTGGTAGTTTAGTTCTTGCTATCTGTTATAACACTATAAATACCGTATAAGTACTTACTTCTGTGGGTTTAATATTATGCAGTTTTTTTTTGTCAAAATAAGGGGTTTTAAATTTCTGCTTATCTTATTTCTGCCACAGGTGTTCGGCGCGTTGATTGGTCCTACCCCCGGGCCAACCCCCCCCCCTCCTCATCCACTCTTCGACCCTCCTACCTCTCAAAACCATGTAAACTGCAGTATTTTCATTTTAAACATGTTTTAATATTTGGTTTATGGTTTTAATTCAATTACCTTCATCTCCCACAAAAATTAAAAAAATGATATATAATATGTTTTAGATTTTAGGACTAGAAAATATTTATGCTCAGCACTAATACAATGTCACCTTGATTATGCATGTTCTTCTTGGTACCCGAGCCTGAACAAGTGTTTTAAAAATAAGCTTCAAATTTGTCAAAATAAAATTGTTAAGATTTATACACGGTTTGGGACCTAGAGATAGTGTCAATAATGTTATTCTTGCTAATATGTCTTTACTAAATGTAGAAAACAGAAATAAGCAATTACGTCTTAATCATGTTTTTAAAATTGTTAATAACCAGTGCCCTTCATATATGATAGAAAATTTTATACCTGTCTTATTCAACTCGGTCGAATCAATTCAATTTTAGGGTCCCAAGAAGTTATGGGAAAGATAATGTAACTTTTTTTCAAAAAGCAATTAATGATTGGAATTCCTTGCCGACATACATCAAAAAAATTAATAAGATAGGAGATTTCAAAAGCTCTGTGAAGGCCCATTTACTAGAACAGTTAGGTTAATTAAACCCACTAGTATGACTAGATATTGATCTCATTTTTATTGTTTTCCTTTTAGCAAAGTTAATGGAAATACTAGTTTGATATTTTACGTAAATGACATCTTCCAGTTTCCGAAGTTTTGTATTTTTCAATGTTTTTGTGTTTTATATTGTATATTATAGTAAGTATATATCCAAGGACCCCATTGGAAATAAGCCTTCGGGCTTTCATGGGCAATCCGAGGTTATTGCACACTACTTTATACATGTTTCCACTTACGTCGTCACCTTTTATTAAACTAGTAAATTGATATCTAGTCATAGGAAAGAAAGAGTTTTAGATTTTGTTTTTAGTTATAATATTTTATTATTTAATGAGCCGTCTGTGATATTTATGTTTGACAATCTTCCGAAATATTTTATTACAATTGTGTCATCAGTTTTATATAAAATGCTTAAGTGTTTGTTTTATGTATACATGTATGTGTGTTTTAACCTGAATAAATATCTATCTATCTATCTATCAATATATTTAGTAAAGGTATGCAACTCGCCGCTCATTTTCCAGCACTCATCTTAATATGAGTTCCATATGATAACTCCAACATTTTTTCACCAATTTTCAATATCTTGGTACCAAATGGTAGGGAATTGATTACTCTTAAAGGAATTTAAGCTGTCATTACAATCATTTCAAGTTTTAAGAAGATATGTAATCTCGAAGTCACCGTTAGTGTAACTCGACAGAGACCTGACCGCTGGGTTTTTGTCAAAATTACCCGACTAAACGGCTGTTTATTCGAAATAAATGAATATTTTTTTATATTGCGCATATAAATATGATCAAATTATATTATTATTTGTAATAACTGTTCAATCAAAACGTCATGAAATACTGTAAAGTCAAATATTTTCTTATAGAGTTCCTTCTTAACATATTTTGAAATTTTCAGACAAAAAAATTCAGACTTCAATTTTCCTTAAATTTTGAAGACTTGAAAGTAATAATTCAGAAGGAAATATTCAGATTTTACAGTATATTGGTGATTGTGCTTTTAATATAACACTGTAGCTAGTTTGCAACCTACCTAACTCTATTTTCAGATCCATTAGACAAGCATGAATCCAGCAACGCCCAAAACCTCAACACTAAAATCCGAAACCTAATCTTCATCTATTGAGCACCCATCTTCCTCAAAGAAACCACTATGTGCACAATCTCTCTTTACACTGGCTTCTCCAAAATCAGATACAACATCTTTAGAGCCTTCACCTTCAAAGGGGCAGGAAGGTCCTTCTCCTGCCAAAGTTTCAAAAGGATTCCGCAATAGCCTGGATGATTTTAGTAAGAGTATGAGCACCTTTCAGGAGGACTTGGACACAAAACTGAAGGCAGGCCTCTACTCTTTGATGGTTGGTGATGTCCAGAATGCAAAGGAGGACTTAAACAGACTAAGAAGGACATCAAATGCCTATTTCAGTCAAAGTTCTTCTGTACTGAAAGACCTTCAAATGAAGGCAGTTGCAACACAACAAAAGTTGACAACTACTGAGAACTACAACCTCCATCTCCATCATGAGAATAATGACCTGCGAGAGAAGGTTAAAACTATGAAAAGGGAAATAGCTTCCAAGGATGCACAGGCAGCATGTCATATGTTTGATGACGATTTTGACGGTGATGAGAATGATGATTTTACTGACAAGAGGAGTGACAAAGTAGTAGGCCATGCAAGAATACAAGGCAGTGTGTCTGATGAGGAGAAAGAGGACATTGTAGCTAAAAAATGTTGACAATGCATAAAATATGTGAAGCTACTCCAACACCACTTTGACATTTTTCCTACATAAACTCACATACAATTTTTGTTTTTATGTTTTAAAACTTTATTTTTAGTGCCTGTGGAAGTTATCTACATTGCCAGTGAATACTAATTTATCCTAAGGAGTATAGTGACTTGTTAATGATTTCACTATATTGAGCTGTATTATTTCACTTTGTGATGTAAAACCATAATTATCTTACATCCTTCTTTACTTGTACCATTTCTTTATGTTTTAAAACTTTATTTTTAGTGCATGTAGAAGTTATCTGCATTGCCAGTGAATTTAATTTATCCTAAGGAGTATAGTGACTTGTTAATGATTTCACTATATTGAGCTGTATTATTTCACTTTGTGATGTAAAACCATATCTTACATCCTTCTTTACTTGTACCATTTCTTTATGTTTTAAAACTTCCATTTAAGTGCATGTAGAAGTTGTCTGCATTGTGTATGATTGTTACTGATATTCATCATTAACATTTTATCGAAAGCTTTATGTATATTGTTTAAGTTTGTAAAAACATACATACACTATTATTACATTTTAGTCGGTTTCAAAAGAAAACACTATTTCTTTGAAATTATGTTACTTGAGCATTTTGAATTCTTTGAAGTTAAATCAGCTTTATTGTTGTTTCTGGTATAATATATGGTCACATTATCTCAGGTTTTCCATTTTCTAGTATGCTGTAAGGGTGTAACGGTTTACCGGTATACCGATATATTGCAATATGAAAAAATAAATTTCGTACTGCGATACGATTTTTGGAAAACCGGTATTTTATAAAAATTATAATTTACAATTAATTGCCTTCTAATTTTGTACAATTTTCACATAAAATCTTTAAGAAAAAAACAGAAAGAATGAATAAATTAGAAACTGAAAAGGAAATTGAAAAGGAAAATAATGCCTACAGAAAAATGAATGAACGCCATTCAAAGTCTACAAATCAAAGAATATTAGACAAGAAAAAAGAAGCTGCTAAGAGAAAAACTAACAGAAACAGTACATCTGTAGAAACAGCCATTATACATTTTAAACGAGCAATCAAAGATGGTGCCTTGTATGAAAGCTTTTCTTGTGCAAGACTTATGTTTAGGCGTTCAGTGTTGAAATATGCACCTTCGAAGTATAGAAAAATCGAGCAAGAGTTAATCAGAAATATTATTGAAGCTAGGAGAGGAACAACAACTGATTGGATCTGTCAAACATGTGATGCTGCTTTAAAAAGAAGCTCAATTCCAGCTTTGTGTTTAGTGAATAATCTATCATTAGAATCCATTCCACATGTACTTGAACATTTGACATTTCTTGAACAACAGATTAAATCTCAGATTTTGCCATTTATGAAAGTGATTACTCTACATACAGGTGCACAGCACAAATTAAGTGGTCAGGTTGTTTTGGTCCCCTCAGATCTCTCTAAAGTTACAACAAGTCTTCCTAGAAATATAGCAAGTGCTCAAATAATCACCTTAGCTCTCAAAAGAAGACTTTTTGACAAGCATCCTTATCATCAACAGCTTGCAAGCTATGTAAAATTGTAAATGAAGCTGTTAGTTACTTGAAGACCCACTCACCACTGTATTCTCAGGTACAGGTAAAACCAAAATTGGCAGCAAAAAAGTGCTGAGAACAATTCCAAACTTTGGTCAGCAGTTAATTCTCAAAACTCTGGACACACTGAAGCTAACAGAAATGTCATTGTTGAAGACTGCACTACAACAAATAAGTGTGAAGCTGATCACATAACCAAACACCATGATAGAAATGAAGAAGAAGTTATCGACAGTGAGGATGAAGTAGATTTTGACAATTCTACAGAAGTTCAAGAAGAACTTCAAAACAAAGCTTCACTGAATGCAGTGACATGTGTACAACCAGTAAATGGACCAGAAATTCAAATGGCAAATGTTTTAAACATTGCACCAGCCGAAGGGCAAACACCTACCACATATTTCAAGCAACCAGAATGGGAGGCCTTATGTTTTCCAAAGCTATTTCCTACTGGCTTGAATATATTCAGCACCAACAGACCAGTAACTAAGTTTAAAAAAATATTTTAGTCAGAGATTAACCAACAAAGACCCATGCTTCTCTGAATGTACAGAATATATATTTCAGGCACTTGATGCAACAGAAAAAGAACAACTTCAAAATAGTATATCCTTGACAACTAGAAAGACATTTCAGAGTGATATCAGTGCAGGACAGTTAAAAGATCCTGGTCAATTAAAAAGAATGATTTCTACAGACCAGTTATTCTCTTCATTTAAAAATATACGCGCTACCCCACAGTATTGGCAGCAGATGCAGCTTGATATGCTGGCCAAATTACAACACGTTCTTTCTTACTGGATCAGCAGCAGAATTTCACTGGATAGAAGTGATCCAAGTTGTTGCAAGTCATCAGTTACCTTATAAGTCATCAGTTACCTTTTAAGTCATCAGTTACCTTTTAAGTCATCAGTTACCTTTTAAGTCATCAGTTACCTTTTAAGTCATCAGTTACCTTTTAAGTCATCAGTTACCTTTTAAGTCATCAGTTACCTTATAAGTCATCAGTTACCTTTTAAGTCATCAGTTACCTTTTAAGTCATCAGTTACCTTTTAAGTCATCAGTTACCTTTTAAGTCATCAGTTACCTTATAAGTCATCAGTTACCTTTTAAGTCATCAGTTACCTTTTAAGTCATCAGTTACCTTTTAAGTCATCAGTTACCTTTTAAGTCATCAGTTACCTTTTAAGTCATCAGTGACCTTTTAAGTCATCAGTGATCTTTAAGTCATCAGTTACCTTTTAAGTCATCAGTGATCTTTAAGTCATCAGTTACCTTTTAAGTCATCAGTTACTTTTTAAGTCATCAGTTACCTTTTAAGTCATCATTTACCTTATAAGTCATCAGTTACTTTTTAAGTCATCAGTTACCTTTTAAGTCATCAGTTACTTTTTAAGTCATCAGTTACCTTTTAAGTCATCAGTTACCTTTTAAGTCATCAGTTACCTTATAAGTCATCAGTTACTTTTTAAGTCATCAGTTACCTTTTAAGTCATCAGTTACCTTTTAAGTCATCAGTTACCTTTTAAGTCATCAGTTACCTTTTAAGTCATCAGTTACCTTTTAAGTCATCAGTTACCTTTTAAGTCATCAGTTACCTTTTAAGTCATCAGTTACCTTTTAAGTCATCAGTTACTTTTTAAGTCATCAGTTACCTTATAAGTCATCAGTTACCTTTTAAGTCATCAGTTACTTTTTAAGTCATCAGTTACCTTATAAGTCATCAGTTACCTTATAAGTCATCAGTTACCTTTTAAGTCATCAGTTACCTTTTAAGTCATCAGTTACCTTTTAAGTCATCAGTTACCTTTTAAGTCATCAGTTACCTTATAAGTCATCAGTTACCTTTTAAGTCATCAGTTACCTTTTAAGTCATCAGTTACCTTTTAAGTCATCAGTTACCTTTTAAGTCATCAGTTACCTTTTAAGTCATCAGTTACCTTTTAAGTCATCAGTTACCTTATAAGTCATCAGTTACCTTTTAAGTCATCAGTTACCTTATAAGTCATCAGTTACCTTTTAAGTCATCAGTTACCTTTTAAGTCATCAGTTACCTTTTAAGTCATCAGTTACTTTTTAAGTCATCAGTTACCTTTTTAAGTCATCAGTTACCTTTTAAGTCATCAGTTACCTTTTAAGTCATCAGTTACCTTTAAGTCATCAGTTACCTTTTAAGTCATCAGTTACCTTTTAAGTCATCAGTTACCTTTTAAGTCATCAGTTACTTTTTAAGTCATCAGTTACCTTTTAAGTCATCAGTTACCTTTTAAGTCATCAGTTACCTTTTAAGTCATCAGTTACCTTTTAAGTCATCAGTTACCTTTTAAGTCATCAGTTACCTTATAAGTCATCAGTTACCTTATAAGTCATCAGTTACCTTTTAAGTCATCAGTTACTTTTTAAGTCATCAGTTACCTTTTAAGTCATCAGTTACCTTATAAGTCATCAGTTACCTTTTAAGTCATCAGTTACCTTTTAAGTCATCAGTTACCTTTTAAGTCATCAGTTACCTTTTAAGTCATCAGTTACCTTTTAAGTCATCAGTTACCTTTTAAGTTATCAGTTACCTTTTAAGTTATCAGTTACCTTTTAAGTCATCAGTTACCTTTTAAGTCATCAGTTACCTTTTAAGTCATCAGTTACCTTATAAGTCATCAATACATTTGGAGTATCATTCAACTTGGATATTAAGTGATTTATTGGAGCTTGGATTTTATAATAGATTAAATTATTCTTGTGAATTTTATTGTGGGAATTTATTCTAAAGTGTTCTTGGATTTAACTTGGATTTAACTGTGCTATTCAAAAAGGGATCATTCCAGGATCAGACAAGACATTTGAGATTTATATTTTTATTTGGACTTCAGGCATTTGTAAACATAAATTGTTATTTAATTTTTCTTCAATAATTTTTCTGTACATATGTAATAAATTTGTTATTGTTACAAGTTTGTTGCTGGCTTTTCTTAACAATGTAACTTAATCAGAATTATGCATATATATACTTATTATTAGACAAAAAAAACCTCCAAATATTTGCATACAAAACGCGTCAAAACATGTCCAATTCAGTAATTTTATAATATATTATTTTAACAGTCTATAATAATTTATGAAATATATGAAAAACAAATAATAATAAAATATAGGGGACGAGTTGACCAGGGGACGAGTTGACCAGGGGACGAGTTGTCCAAGGGACGAGTTGACCAAAAGGTGACGAGTTGACCAGGGGACGAGTTGAGCAGGGGACGAGTTGACTCTGAATCGTTTCTAGAAGGAATAAGACTTCTAATCTCCAAGAAGTGGAAGAATATCTCACACCTGTTGAGAAAATGTTATGTGCAACATTTTCCCAAATTGAAATAAGAGGGAAGAAAGGACGTACTGTACCAGTCTTACTCACATCTGAAATAGAAAGCAATATTGACCTATTGTTACAGCACAGGGAAATGGCTGGAATACATCCAGAGAACCTGTATTTACTTCCTAGGTCCAATTTCAATTCAAAGGAGCCAATTAGAAGTACTGATGTTCTACGGAAATATGGTAAAGAAGCAAATTTATGTAAAGCAGAAAATATTACAAGCACGAAACTACGGAAGCATATAGCTACCATTTCACAGGTCTTGAACTTGAGTAGACATGATTTAGAAACTATGGCTGAGTTTATGGGCCATGACATTGATATTCATCGCTCAATCTACAGACTTCCACAGGAGACAATACAAGTTGTTAAAATGGGAAGGCTACTGAGTGCTTTTGATAATGGAACCATTGTTCAGTATAGAGGTTTAGATGAGATAACAAACTATTTAAGATTTAAAGGTGGACTACTTACACTTGTTTTGTAGTTTATAATCATGGCCATTGTCAGTTTTTAATCATCATTAGGATTGAATATCAAGAGCAATTATAAAATTGTGGATTAAATGGAGAGATAGCCTAGTGGTTAGGTGTCAGCCTCTCAACCCAGGGATTGCGAGTTTTAGTCCTACATGGGTCACAACCATGTTTCGTCATATGACACAAGTACTAGTTAGTTCTAGTGTGGTTCAAATAAGTTGTAAGCTTTGATCAGTTGAGATTACAAGAGAAGTTCATTTAAATTTGTCGTTACAATTCTCTAAACTGCGTTATCGGGCACAGTCATATACTATTTACTTTAACCCTTCCAAGTATTCGTCCTTAACAGAAATACATTTTCTAGCCTAGAAATCCACTCTGTGAAGGCAGAAAGGTACGCGTCTTTAGGTACACCCTGTAGGCACTGTAAAATTGCACTATCTAACGCACTTTGAGACTCATGTTGACGTCCAGATAGTTTTCTTCAATAAGGGAAACAAGAGAAAATCACAGGGACTAAGGTCTGGGGAATAAGACGGGTGGGGACGTTGTACTACTTTTTTCTTTCCTAGGAACTTCTAAACAAGCACCCACTTTTGAGCAGCAGCATTGTTATGATTTAGGCAAAGGCCTCCAAGTCTTGTGGAAGGTTTAAGGGCACATTAGCTCTCAGAAACATATTATTTTTAAGTATATTGATAAAATAATACTACTGAAATTAATTTTAATTTTAAAGTCACTATTTATTTAAAAATGTTGACAGTTACTGTTGCCTGCTGAAACAGTGAACAATACCTCTAGATGACTTTGTATCCTGAAACAGTGGAATGAAGATTTGTCTCTGGCTTAAACTAGACCTATCACTGAAGGTGATTAATACCCCCACCAGCAACTTTGACTTTTTGAAAAAAACGTAGTCAGAAGAAAAATTTGAACACAAACTATCAACTGTGTACAAAGAAATATTTCAATAAATTGTAATAGCAACTGAGGTCTTGAAAGAAGCTTGATATACGCCAAGTTTGATAACAATATCTCATTCCTAACTCTAATTATTGTCCAGAAACCATTTTTCTTTTTTTAGTAACAGTGACCTTGACCCCAGGGGGTCCAAATGCAATACCAACCCAGGTCTTCATATAAGCTTGCTATACATCAAGTTTGATTACAGTATCTCATTCCTAAGTCAAGTTATTGTCCGGAAACCATTTTTCTATTTCTAGTAATGGTGACCTTGACCCCAGGGGGCCCAAATGCAATACAAACCGAGGTCTTCATATAAGCTTGCTATACGCCAAGTTTGATAACAATATCTCATTCCTAACTCTAATTATTGTCCGGAAACCATTTTTCTTTTTTTAGTAACAGTGACCTTGACCCCAGGGGGTCCAAATGCAATACCAACCCAGGTCTTCATATAAGCTTGCTATACATCAAGTTTGATTACAGTATCTCATTCCTAAGTCAAGTTATTGTCCGGAAACCATTTTTCTATTTCTAGTAATGGTGACCTTGACCCCAGGGGGCCCAAATGCAATACAAACCGAGGTCTTCATATAAGCTTGCTATACGCCAAGTTTGAAAACAATATCTCATTCCTAACTCTAGTTATTGTCCGGAAACCATTTTTCTATTTTTAGAAATGGTGACCTTTCCCTTGACCCCAGGGGTTCCAAATGCAATACCAACCGGAGTTTCCACATAAGGTTGCTATATACCAAGTTTGATTACAATACCTCATTCCAAACTCTAGTTATCGTCCGGAAACCATGATGTGGACCGACTGACCGACGGACCAACCAACCGACCGACAAGCTGACTCCTATATATCCCCCCTAAACTTCATTTGTGGGGGTATAATTATGACCGATTATGATCAGAAAGAGATATCTGCAATAGAGAGCACATTTCAAGTTCTGTTCTGTGTTTCTGTTACACATGAGCAGATCTTTTGTTACTATATTGTATTATATAAAATTTTTATTATTTTGAGCTTATTGGTTATTTTTTATAATTTCATTTGAAATTTCATTCTTAATTTAATATATGAGAAGGTAATAGTGATAGAGATACTAGTGAAATAAAATGACATGTGAAGTCATTTTCAAAGGCTAACTTTCCTTGTATGCCAGATTATAGTAATCGATTTTTCCTAATAAGAAATGCCTGTGAAATCATATGTATAGTGCTTTGACACTGCCACAGTGTGTATCTTCTTTCTCCTTAAAGACATGTATAAACATTTTTTGTCAATGAAGATCAGGAAAATGTGCAGGAAAATGTGAATGCCTGGAAGACAGAAAGGCTAGATGTCAAAATAATAAGGAAGACTTCATTTTTGTACATCAAACAGCATGACAAAGGAATATATGGGACTGTAATTTGCCTCCTGGATGCAACTGACTTTGAGGTATCTCTCTTCCACATTTGTGTCTGCACATATATAGGATATAAACACTGTTGTTTGCTTCCTGTTTCCTGCTGAAACAGTGAAGATTTGTCTCTGGCTTTCTTTATGACCGATTATGATCAGAAAGAGATATCTGCAATAGAGACCACATTTCAAGTTCTGTTCTGTGTTTCTGTTACACATGAGCAGATCTTTTGTTACTATATTGTATTATATAAAATTATCACTTATTTTGAGCTTATATTTCATTTATTATAATTTCATTGGAAATAACATTCTCAATTTCATATAAATACCTATTTGATTCTGTGAAGCTAATAGTGTTAAAGATACTGGTGAAATGAAGAGACAGGTGAAGTCATTTCAAAAATCAACTTTCCTTGTACCCAAGGTTATAGTAATTGATTTTTCCTAATAAGAAATGCCTGCGAAGTCATATGTATAGTGCTTTGATACTGTCACAGTGTGTTTCCTCAAAAACATGTATAAACAGGTTTTCCAATGAAGATTAAGAAAATGTACAGGAAAATAAGTATGCCTGGAAGACAGGAAGGCAAGAATTATTAGATGTCCAAATAATAAAGAAGACATGAATTTTGTGCATCAAACAGCATGGCAAAGAAATATATGGGAATGAAATTTGCCTCCTGGATGCAACTGTGTCTGCAAATTTGAGGTATCTCACTTCTTTGTTTGTGTCTGCACAGATATAGGATATAATCATTCTTGGTTGCTTCCTGTTGCCTGCTGAAACAGTGAAGAATATCTTTGGATGACTTTGTATCCTGAAACAGTGAAATGAAGATTTGTCTCTGGCTTAAATTATGACCAATTATGATCAAAAAGAGATATCTGCTATAGAGAGCACATTTCAAGTTCTGTTCTGTGTTTCTGTTACACATGAGCAGATCTTTTGTTACTATATTGTATTATATAAAATTATCACTTATTTTGAGCTTATTGGTTATTTATTAAAATTTCATACTCTTAATTTAATATAAATAGCTTTTTGATTTTGTGAATGTAATAAAGTGTTAGAGAAAGTTATATGTGAAGTGATGGCAAAGGAATATATAGAATGAAATTTGCCTCCTGGTTGCAACTGTGTCTGCAAATTTGAGGTATCTCACTTCTTTGTGTCTGCACAGTATCCTGAAACAGTGGAACGAAGATTTGTCTCTGGCTTTCTTTATGACCGATGAAGATTAAAAAGAGATATTTGCAATAGGGAGCATATTTCTAGTTCTGTTCTGTGTTTCTGTTACATATGAGCAGATCTTTTGTTACTATATTGTATTATATTATAAAATCATTATAGTTTTGAATAAATTATCAATTAAATTTATTGGTAATAACATTTTCAACTCGATATCAAGAGTTATTTGATTTCAGTACATCAGTGAGAAAAGGTAATAAAATATGTATGCTTATTACTGATAGAGACACCATGAAGTATCCAGGTGTAGAGAAAAACTGCTTCGATGATCTTTTGAAACAAGTATTTACAGAATTAGATAAACTTGGTACATCGGTCGAGGCAGCAGATTGTTTATACAAAAAAGTCCTGTCACAAATTGTTGGGCTAACAAATGTACATGTTTGATGGTTCGCACTCCTCCCAACTCGCCCCATATATGGGATGCAGACTAGTGGCTTGTCAAATTGAAATTATTGTATTTCATTAATGAGGATTTTGATATAATTGTTGAAAAACTGTACTACATGTATATTTCTTCTTAATAGTACATTATCACTTTATTTATTTTAGACTGGGACCACACTGGCGGTCTACTTTTTTGTGTTGAGGATTTCAGTCGGAAAAACCTACAGAAAGCCCCTGAAGCAGTAACCTGTACGGGAAAACTTAGTAGTTGGAATGTTCCCAGAGACCTAAAAGTACATTCAGCCCCACTTCTAAATATGAAGATAAAAAAGGCACATATTGGAAAACAGCAAGAAAATATTCAGTCAGAGTCTGTGACTTTATACGACCCTCGTGACCCGGTTGACAGATATCTTGATATCCCGGCATTGCGTACTTTGTATGAGAATTTAGAAAATTGTAGCCCGGCATTTGGTTTCTTTCTTTTTCATAAGGAACTGACAGACATAGACAACGAGCAGGTGACACTAGGTGAAAACTTGCCTGTTAGTGATAATGTGGAAGTGGTATCCACACACTATAGTGAGAAGGACAGGGGAATGGAGATATTTTCCAAACAGAAATTGTTGGACATTTACCTGGTCAAAGGTATAAGTCTGCCCGATATGGCCAGTAGCATGGATATAGAATGTGCTGTTGATGATTATCTAAGCAAACTTAAAATTGATGAAATGATAACTGAAGCTGTTGAAATGAGAACAAAACAGCAATCAAAAAGTGTGTTGTGGCAGAATCTAAGGAAATTATCCTTACCGCTTCAAACTTTGGTAAAATAATAAAACGTAAAATAAACCCAGATGGACTTATTAAGCAGCTGTTATATTCCAGCTTCTCATCGAAAGCTACCACTTATGGGTCTGAAAACGAAGAAAACGCAATTCTTGCTTATGAGAAGCATATGGAAATGTCTGGAAATGCTGTCAAAGTTGAAAAAATGGGTTTACAAATTTGTGACAAGTTTCCTGGATTAGGTGCCAGTGTTGATGGCAAAGTGTTTGAAATATCTACAGATAGCTATGGATGTCTAGAAGTGAAATGCCCTATATCTAGAGCTGGAGTTACTCTTGAAGAAGCTGTACATAAACAGCCATTTTGCTTGAAGAAAAATGATAAAGGTGAAATTAAATTGAACAGATCTCATGATTACTTTTACCAGGTTCAAGGTCAAATGTTTGTGACAGGGCTTAAGTGGGCAGACTTTGTCGTTTGGCTCAATGACGAAAATGTTTATGTCAAAAGAATTTTATTTGATGAGACAATGTGGAATAAAATTTCACTTCCTAAATTAACTAACTTCTACAGGCGACAGTTTATTTCAGAATTGTTGTCAAGGCGAGTACAAAAAAAATTATTATAAAGATAAAATAAAAGCTTTAAGCACAACAAAACATAGGAGTGAATAAATAGGCAGTTGGTTCATGAAAACGTGGGTCCGATAAATATTTTTATGGTACGTGACCTACATTTTATTGTGTTTAAATGAATCGATGGATTTGATAAATGCATTTAATTGTGTTTACAAAGGTAAACAATCTGAGTTGAATATGTTGGAGAGGGCATCCGATCAAATCTGCACAGAAATTCAGAAATAATTTTATAGTTCTATAATATTGCCGCCATGACAGCTTCTTGCCACGGACCCACGTTTTCATGAAAAGAAATCCCATCAAATTAAATGATAAATAGAAACAAGAGGGCCATGATGGCCCTGAGGCCGCTCACCTGTATAAAGGCACCCGGAGCGGGGCCAGTTTAACCCCAGGGCTTTTATTTGAACAAACTTGGAAGACAACCAGTAGAAGATGTTTCACGATGTTAAGTTTTTACTACACACATATAATGAAAAACAACGATCTACCGCTTTTATTTG